TGCCGAAGTACGCTTTTCTAAGTATGCAATATGTCGTAGTTCGTGTTTGGATTAGGGTGAGAATATGAACCACATCCTATCCTATCTGTCTATCTATCTATCTATCTATCTATCTATCTATCTATCTATATCTGTCTGCCTGCCCACCTACCCATCTACCTGTCTACATTCCTTTTTTGCACCTTTGCCACCTTTTCTGTTTCTTTATCCTAAGCACAGTTTGCAGGACTCATTGCATATGGGATTAGTCCGTCGGACGCCCGCTGCCTGCACACAGACATCCATGCCGTTAGTGGGATTCGAACCCACATTCCCAGCGTTCGAGCGGGCGAAGATATTTCATGCCTTAGACCGCGCGGCCACTGTGATCGGCGAATCACATCCTAGCACCAGTATTTTCTGTTTAGTGTTATTTTCAGGAGTACGTTTTCTTAAGCACTGAATTATCAAGTAATGACTTGAAACGTAACTAACAAGTGCATATCTTGCAATTTTAAATTAGCTTGTAAGTCGCTTCGTAACTTTAATTTGCATGAATGTTGCGGTAGAAGAAGTAGCGCGTATAGTTCTCCTGATGATGATTCAGCATTAAGACGGGGCATCATTAGGGCAGAGTAATCAGAAATGCAGACACACACAAGTAAAGACAATCAAATAAAGAGGGAGTGAGAGAGAAAAGGTAAAAGCAAAATACAACGTATTAAAGTTGAATATTAAAAGGGACAGTAAGCCGACAGGAGGGAAGGGTGAGGGGGAGGGGAAGGAAATAAGCAAACAAATTGAGTTAGTCGTAATTCTCTGTCCTCCACCGGTTGTTCAGTGGACGTTCCTGTAAGGTGAACAATTCATTCAGCACAACTGAAGCAAGTATAGTAATTGTTTCCTGTGAGCTTATATTGTTAAGGAATAAACGAGCACAAATCGAGGTGTCTTACAAACGGAAGGTTGTTAGGATGCGTTTTTGCCAAATGGATTTTCTGGTCACCGAAATTTAAGTGTTATTACCTACGAATTCCTTGGATTCTGCTTATCAACATTTTATGTTGAACTTAATGTATCATATCAAAATTGCTACAATCAGTACGAATGAAATTTGTCTGTATTCTCAGTTCTCTGTAACAAACTTCGCGCAGCAATATTACGTATGTTTTCACACGCGTATGAGCAAGGATAGCTCAGCCTGCATGGCGACTGGGTAGGGGCTGGACGACCGAGAGGTCTGAGTTGAAGTCTCTGTAAGGTCAAGAATTTTCTCTTCTCCATGTCGTCCAGACCGGCTGTGGGATCCACCTAACCTCCTATCCAATGGGTACTGGGGGGGTCTTTCCCCGAGTTTAAAGCGGCCGGGGCGTGAAACTGACCACTCACCTCCAGCTAGTGCCAAGGTTAAGAAAATATGGAGCTATACATCCACTCCCCCATACGTCTTCCTGGCGTAGTGCTTAATTAGTTAAGCACAGGGACAACTTTGCCTTTTTACGATATATATGTATATATACAGTCTACATGCATACGTACATAAAAAGCCTGTATTTGAATATCTGAGTTTCTTATAGGTCTGTTCCCTGAAATGTCGAAATTAAAAGAGAAGCAATCGAAAAGACCCACGTTTCTTTACTTTGTTTTCTGTTTCTCAATTTACCGATTTATCGATTTTAGACATTGTGAGGTGTACTGTGTGCGTGTATGTGTAATGCGTGTATGTATATATATAGAGACACAACTTAGTCCATGTGTTCATATTTATTGTTACTTAACAGAGTGTGACTGTAGACGGGGTTTTGGATTGATGACTCGATTTATTACACACGTCTATACAATACTTCACTTCACTCTACAGTTCACTATTACACACACACTAGTGTCCACAGTCACGTCTTTGCAAGCCGTTGCTCTGTAGTGGCTGCCAATGGTGGACATTTCCCTTCCTCTTGGTTACCGAACTATCCCCAGCTTCAGCTACCAGCTACTCTCAAATGACTCTGAACCTACTGTCTTCATTCCACTAACTGTCCTGCTTATATCTCGGTGCGGACCTCACAGAAAGCACTCCTCTGTTGCTGTTTCCAGTTATTGCCGTAGAAACATACTTATTTGCGAAGCCATTATTCAGTGACAGCTTCTGCACATTTACTTATCTGGCGGTCGTTGTCTAGGAACGGGTCTGCATGCCACAAAATATATATACATGCGATATGTTTCGGCCACGTGGGGCCATTATAGGGTGCATAAAATAGTTCGTATAAATGCAATAGGATACTCGAATACGCTATTGCGAAATACTGATTTTACTGTTATCATTTATCATCAGCATTTCGGTAAATGTTGATGTAAAGTAGGCGTCCAATTTAAGCATCCATATTTCCAATTTCGATTGCCCTGAATCCTAAGTGTGAGTCAGGATTAGGCGTAAGATCGGTTCACCTCTTTGCTCTTCGAGCCCTGCGCCTGTGCGTGACGGCTCTTGTCACGAGGGAGGGAGTTGCATGTATGAGAATTCTGTTCTTGATTATAGACGCGTGAGAAAAATGTTAAGAAACCTTACACCCTCCGTTTTGAATGGAAGCTGGGTTTAGTATATAGGATTTGTTCAAGGAAAGCGGACCGTAAAAGGAAATGAAAGGAGAAGAGAAGGATGGTTAGAGAAAAAGGAGACATTTGATGATTTGAAAGTGACGGAAGCAGCGTTCTGTTTCCTGTCCTTCCTTCTGTTGTTAGCTTATTGTGCTCACGATTGCCCGGTTTCAGTGGCACGTTCCTCCTGACTAGTCGAAAAAATAATATTTGATTTCATGTGCTCGTTTTCTCAGATTCATTTAAGAATATTGTTTGCACCCATCTTCTGACTAAAGATGTAAAGTTAAAATACAAAGTAGCTATTATTTTATGTGTTGTTTTATATGGTGACCGTCTCTGTGGTCTAGTGGTCGGAGTTCCTGGCTACAGATCCAGAGGTCCTTATTCGATTCACTGCGCTACCAGATTTTCTGAAAAGTAGTGGGTCTGGAACGGGGTCCATTCAGTCTCGTGATGATAACTGAGGAACTATTTCAAGGAAATAGCGGCTCCGGTATAGAAATCCGAAATTAACGGCCGTGGGGATCTGTTGCGCTGACCACGTGATACCCTCTATCCGCAAAAGTTGGCACTAACTTCGCCGGCAAGCGACGGTCGCTCGGTCGGTATAGTTTGATTGCGGAATACAGGCCACGGAGTTTTATATGATTGTGAAGTTTAGTCCCTAATTCAAAGGGAATAATATCTTTGAGTGTGTCTGAGACCAGGTTGCTCAGGAAAATAGTTGGACTTAGGAGAGGAGAAGTAAGCGGAAATAACTTACGAATATATATACATTTAGCATATAAAGTTCTGTTCTCCTTGTGTAATATATGCTGTGTGTGTGTGTGTAATGTTGAATAGATTAATTCATACACATTTCCTTAAATATTTTCTCTTGTTATTCTTCCCAGTTTTTTGCTGCCATCTTTTTACTTACAACGACTAAGATATAACCTATAGGCTAGCAGCAACTTACTTTTCCAAGCACGTTCTGAGTAAGTACGTTCCGATACGTGATATACTGAATTTGTTGTTGAATGTGTGTTAACATAAACATGTTTAATAACCACATATTGAAACAGGTTTTGTTCTGAATGAAGCGTTCGCAGATGCCTGAGGTCCCCTATTGCTTTACGCAGATATGTAATATCATTTATGAAATAGTGTGAACTTTTTCCTTATCTACTGATTATGATTGGGGCACGCGGTAGCGTAGTTGGTTGAGGCAGTGTGCTACAAGCCGGAAGGTCGCGGGTTCAAGTCCCGATGAGGTCATTGGATTTTTTTCAATTGACCTAATCCTTCCAGCCGCATTATGGCCCTGGGTTCGACTCAGCCTCTAACAGAAATGAGTACCAGGAATCTTCCTGTGGGTTAAAGGTCGGCCGGCGCGTAGGGCTGACAACCTTACCGCCAACTGTGAGCCGATTGTCTAGAAAATGTGGGAACCTCAACATCTCACAACCCTATGGGCCTTCACGGCCTGGTACAGGGATAGCTTTACTTTACTCATTATGATTATAAATAAGGTGTTGATGCTTGATACAGAATTATATGGAAGAACAAAGGTTGCATTATGAGGTGCCTAAGGAGATGAATAAATCTTCACTAAAGTAGAGAAATTCTGTTTGAAAATATTATTTACACGCAAATTTAAAGTCAGTTTCATGGGGTTAGACGGCCGGGGATTGAAGCGTGCCGCTCACTTGCATCTAATGCTAAAGTTAAGAATGCGGTGCAGTTCTATTTCAATTCCTGCTTACGTCTCTTTGATGTGGTTCGTAATTAAGCATAAGGAAAACATCATGAAAACAATGCACACTATGAAGAAAGCAGTCTTCTGGGATTTGGCACCGTGTATATGTGGTGTTAACCGACGTTTCGGATGACCGTGTCTCGGTGTTGTCGCTTGCAGATTTACTTATACTTCTTCAACCCTGAAGATGGGGGCGATACGTTCCTCCGAAACGTCGGTTAACACCACATATACACGGTGCCAAATCCCAGAAGACTGCTTTCTTCATAGTCACCGCCGTGAAAGCCTCAAATCTTACAATGCACACTATATTTGACTGCGCCGGTCACGGTAGCCGAGCGGTCTAAGGCATGTACTGTCTTCGCTCGCTCGAAAGCCGGGATCGTGGGTTCGAATCCCACACAGAGCATCGATATTTAGTGTGTGTATGCGTTCATTCTGTGTTTGTGTTGTCCTGTATTTAAGTAGAAGCCTTGCGACGAGCTGATCACCCGTCCAAGGAGTCCTACCGTCTGAAAAAATGATTATGAAACTGAGAAATGAGCCCTATGTTCCAAAGTGGGAGCGAGAGGAGAGAGGGAAAAATATCTGACTGCTACATTGACTCAAAAATTCACTAGAGAATTATTTTTATGTGCAAAGTTGGGCTGTCCTAACCACATGTTGTGTTTCTCGTGTGTTCCAGATGCTCTAGGTAAGTGGCTGTTCTCGACCAAAGCGACTGCAGCAGATCTGCTGGCAGCTAGTCACATGCAGGTAGGAATCTTGTTATTATCTCCTTTTTACTGTCAGGCCCAGGCCAGTTCCGGCCTGTATGTGCACGTTATTTGATTGCCAATTAGGATGAAGAATTACATGACCTAGCTAATGGATAAATTTACTGCACGGCTGAATATTCTGTTAGAAAAAAAAACTTTGGAGTTTCACATATGGAAATGAAATTCCTCTCTATGGAAGTCATAACAAGAAACTTAATGTATTTTGCCCTAATTATGTTAACTGAATATAGGCATCTACTTATCTTCTGATGGATCAGTAAGTAACGTTTCGTGAGTTTTACTCGTACCAAGTAAGAACATTCTTAAAATTCCTTATAGATCTCTGTGTTCTGTCTAAATCTTTACAGTGCACTTGGTCCTGTATACGACAAAGTTTAACGATGTTGATACAGGGTGTTTGCACTAAAGATTTCTACAGTTACTACAGGAGAATGCCGGAAAAATCCTTCAAATTAAGCCATGACCGTTTCCTCCCAGTTCCGTTACACTTCATTTACTAATCTTCTGATCATTCGATTTTGTATAATCTGGGTTATTGACAGCATCATTATATAAACAAATCATACAAAAATGAAATTCTATATTATTTTATGAAATTGCATAAATTTCAATGGAATTTAATGTCTGAGTTACCTGAAGAAAAAGCGGCCTCCGTAGTCTAGAGGTAACGTTCCCACCTCATGACTCGTAGTACGCGGGTACAAACACCCGGCGGAGGCCGTCGAATTTTTAAGGGCGGAAAAATTCAAGGAACAAGTCCTTCGGGAGGGACTTTAAGCCGTGGGTCCCGTGTCATAGCTTTACGGCACGTAAAAGAACCTCATATCTCCAAAGGAGGTAACTGAGCCAAATTAACGGTCGTTTCCCGCCCAACAGCAGTCTCTAATACCTCTGGTAGATAGGGGAAGCATTATAGATACCTCTCAGCTAGTAGAGCCGGTCTCGCTGGCTGGGCGGGACTGATGGTAAGCCCCAGTACCGGTAGGATATAGAGACTGGTAAGAAATCATAGAGGGAAGCACAATGGACCAGTACATGGGGAAACCCACCCTCTCCAATAACTAACTAACTACCTGAAGAACGTGTAGAGTTATACAATATACCCAAAATGGGTGCAACAACTGAAGGAAGAAAAGGTGTTATTTTTTAATTTATTTAAACATTTTCAGAATTTATATTTGCGTTTGTAAAATCAGGAAATCCCTTTGAAAAATAATGGCGTCTCACTTAAATTGCGTCCTTTTAAATACACATTATTCTGACAGAATACAGTATGAATTGAATTTTAATATACATCTATACCAGGCATATCCAGCTTCAAACTGGTTGTGATCGACTTTTTAGTGACAAAACTGCCAGTGATCTACCTCCCCCTCCTATCGTCCTACCTCGCTTTAAGTAAAAATATTGGTAAAAATAAGAGTTCATGTGATAAGGATAGAGTAGGGACTTCCCCACAGTTCACTTAACACAAGTGTAAAGCAATTTTCACGTAAACTACATAAGAACAGAAAAATAGGAATGACTAATACGTATTTTCCCTTCAAAACATGAAAATAATCATATTATATTACAAGTGAATTTACCTGCTTTTCACGTATAATTTCCTTATAGGCCTATGAGATCGACCAAAAATCGTCCCGCGATCGACCGGTCGGACATGCCTGATCTATATGATATGTGAATATGTGGCTGTTCATTTATTTCGTATATAAGCTTACATTTATTTGTTTTAACATATAATTTAGATCCTTAAGAAAACCATTTTATAGGCCACGCCATAGCTGAAGCTGTTAGTCGCTGGCTTCCTACCGCGGCGGCCCGGGTTCAATCTCGGGTCTGTTCAAGTGGGATTTGTGATGGACAAAGTGGCGCTGGGGCGGGTTTTCTCCGAGTACTTCGGTTTCCCCTGCCAATCTTCATTCCACCAAATTCTCCATCGTCATAATCACCCGGGGCAGGTACAATAGGCCAATCAGTGGCCGCCGTGCCGAGTGGACCCAGTTGGACTCCACCCCCCACTAAGCGAATTAAAAAAAACTATTTTATATGTTTTAGAAATCGCATTCAAATGAGCTGCGTGGTTTGTGGTTACTAATTTATTTAGGAAAGATAGAACAAGGGATCATTAGCATGTTCCCATGTTCTTTGAACATTGACATTATCTTGCGAGATCATTATGAAAATGGGGTCGTGGTATTGAGAAAGAACTTATTTTGTGTAGAGAAATCCAGTCGAACTATAGCTGAACGCGGATGGGTACAGTGAGTTGGTGGGCATTGATTAATTAAAAAAAAAAAAAGAAGAACCTACTAGAAGAATGGGCGAAATATTTGAAGCCCTTTCGATGGCCAAGAATGTAATTAAAATTTTTTTCTCTCTCTCTCCCTCTCAGCCTATTAAAATCCTAACGGACACAATTTTACGAGCTTCTGACTTGTCTAGTTCTCTTCGATGGGACAAGGCTGGTGTCCGCCAGTAAAACTAATAGTAGCTTCCTTTTCTATCAACTGTAGTTTTCGTTTTTTTTTCGAAAACGGTTTAATTAGAAGAAGCAGAATACATTCAATGCATCCCACACCATATGCTTTTCCCCCCTTTTTGCTTGCTTTCTGCTATAATCTCTTCCCTTCCAATGTGTTGAAGATGTGTAGTTCCGATGTTTTGAATTTTACCCATTTAATAGCTGGGAGTGTTTTGTAGAACACGTTTAATCGATGTTTTCGCACCTATTAAAATTTTCATCATCATCATCATCTTCTTCTTCTTCTTCTTCTTCTTCACCGGCCCAAGGACCCTGTTTGTGCTTCGGCATCCTCCATGACTTCCTGACAGTAAATTTTTCTGAGGTGGTGTCGTTGGAACTACGTCCATCCCCCAACCTGGAGGACAAGGGACGAACATTCGTCTGCCATCTATCTTTTGACCTATCTAATAAGGGTGCTCCTTCCAGGAGCTTACGCTCCCGCCAGCATAGTTGTCCGGGACTTCGAGGTGCGCGAAAATCCTCTCCAAGATAAGGTAAAGTCTTCGAGGAGATGTTAAACAGTTACATTATCGAAATATATCGATGAAATTAGATTTGTACCCACAGATGTTTTACAGTTTATGTATTGCTATGAGGTTGATCCGAAAGTGGGTTGGAGCACAATCAGCTGTCAGCATCTGTTTTTAAAGGCTTTTTGATATGAACGAGTTGTTGCCTTCCTTTTCCAAAGTCTCTCTTAGTTCACTAACCGTGATCATTTTGATGGAGATGAAGTGAGTATCCTGGAAAGTAGAAATCCAGTCTTCAAAGAGTTAAGCACTAACCAGGTCTTATTAGTTTTTCTCACTAAAACATTGTAATGGAGTCGATCAACGCGTTGCCAGGCAACGACTACGTAAACACAGCCCAACACGCAACAATAGATGAGGCTGTGTTTTCTGTGTCGTCCTCGCCACGTCCATTGCTGGCAACGGACCAGTGAACTCTCAGTCTGACATGTGACACGTGTTTTCTGTGGGGTCCATGCCGAAGAATTATAAGAGCTTCCAGAATAACCGAGAGTGCAGTTCAGCAGTGGAGAGCACAAGGACGTGAATGGAGCATGTCCTTAGTGAATTGTGACGATTACTTGAGTACAGATTAGGGCGGAGAGTGATTGAAGATGAAATAACTTCATAGTGATTTGAAGTGCTAGTTTCTGTGTTGAGACCCGTTGCCAGGAGACGACTAATGACTGGATATACTAGTGCGTGTGCAACGGTGGACTGTAAAGCGATAGCGTTATAATTCAGTAGTGATTAAGAGCACTTTCAACCGATTTGCTAATAAATCCAATCATCTGATCTAGAACCCTTTATTTTCGTCACGCGTACCCTCCTACACGTGAGAGCAATTTACTTCTTCTTACAGCGTACATTATCACACTACTCGCACCTAAATTAACCGAATTCTAGTCCCGAATTTTAAATGTAAATATAAGGCCCCTTTCTGCGCATTATAACCATACTTCGCAAATATACTCTCACAGAAGAAAATTTGTACACTATTTCATCCTTTTTGTTAGTAACATTCCTACCGAGAAAATTGTACCGTAAATAATAATTCAATTCATGTTTATTTACGTGCAAACTTAACAGAACAGAGACCAATTACAAAGCTAGCACGAATAGAGAAATACACAAAAATAATTAAAAAACAAAATACAAAAATTGTAGTCTGTATTAATTACACAGTTAGCATGAATAAGATACAAAGACAGAATGTGAGAATTTGAGTTTCAAATAGAGCAGCATACAATAACAATAACAATAATAATAATAATAATAACGAAATTAATAAAAATAATGATAATAATAGTAGTAATAATAATAATCTCTTCTTTTTTTATTTCTTCTTAATGTTGGGTAGTTCGTGTTGCGTGTTACATAATTCGAAGGTGGTTTATAGTACGAATAATCTTTGGTGGCGTATCCACGAGATACAAACATCGATACATATCCTCACTATTCACGCGACCTGATAGGCCTGAGCCTTCAAGAAATTCATTCGTCTGAAAGTTTGATGCTGATTGTATTGTAAGTTGCGCAGTGCGGCTTGTAAACTGGTGATATTCACGCTCTGTAAAACTTGCATGTGTGTGTGTGTGTGTGTTTTGTGCCTACGCTTAAGAATTTCCTCTCAGCTTTGATTAGTTGATCCATTATCACTTGTTACTCTAGACACGTGTGAACCTTTCAATTGTTTTTGTATCCGCTTCATTCTTCCATTCCTAGTCTCATATTATTCGAAAGAATTGTTCAACACCGCGTTTCTCAACCATCAGACAGCGGGAAAAGAAATACACCGATTAAGACGTTTTACTTTGAGACAGAACATAAATAAGAATTGATGGCATTGCACTAATGAGACTGATTGTAGCACATTCCA